AGAGTCATACCTCAGAGCAAGGGCCACTCACACCTAACATACATCATTCCAGCTTCATTAGCTGCAGGAAATGCACATTGACGTACATAGACTCGCATGCATACAGCATCTAGAAATTGGCTATTATACAGTGAAAATAACAGTCAAAATAACACTGTTATATACACTTTTTTGTAAACTGATCTAGGGCAGTGGTTCTCATTCTCATTCTGGACGTTAAAAGGCAACCAAACACACTAGCAAAATGTACTGTTCAAAAATGCCTTTAAAGGGATAGTTTAAAAAAAAAATAATAATCATTTACTTACCCTCATGCCATTAAAAACCTGTAAAATTTTCATTCTTCTGTGGAAAATGTAAGATTTTTTTTTCATTAATGTATAATGTTGGTTATCAACATTATTCAAAATATCTTCTTTTGTGTTCTAAAGAAAGAAATTATGAGGTAATGTAATTTTCCTTTTTAGGATCAAAATGCGCAACAATTTGTACAATGGATTCTATGCACAAACACTTCCACATTTAAGCCTCTTTGGCCACTGCAACATTTGTTGCAGTGCAGTTAGGGAAATTGTGAGAAAAAGCACAAAATTATACCTTGAAGAAGTGTATAAAGTATAATAAGTAATATTGATACAATCCACCTTCACACTTAAAAGTATTTAAAGCTGTAACTCATTACTATAATATTATGGTTTAATATTATTTACTAAATATGTGCTATAGTTAAGTATGTATATTATTTATATATTATTATTAATTATATATATTATTAATTCATATTATTATTAATTATATATAATATACAGTTCGCTATGGAAGAATATCTGAGATTATATCGGAAATCCACAACATTAGCATAGCTAGCACTATGTTCTACTTATTGAACTATAGGAATGCTGAAATTCCAGGTTGGGCAAGCCACCTGTTGAGAAAGGCCTTTTGAGCGGGAGATTCTAATAGTCTTTTTCTTAATTGCAACATTGGGATGAGTGAGAAATGTGGTGTTTATTCTGGTTAGCCTGTGTGTTTATGCATAAAAAGCTGCATATTGATGAGGCCAGGGTCAAACGGACTCTTTCAATAGATGTTTTCCAGTCATCAAGTGCAACAAATGCTTTATAATTTAGCCAGTGTAAAACCAGCTGAGGAAACATGCACTGTACCCGTCAAAACGTTTACCAGCAATCGTCAAATTAAATCAAGTTAGAAATTCACACACACGTTGGATATTGTCCACGCCCACCCACTGTTTAACATACATTTAAAGTCCCTTTTATTACTACTTTTTTTTTAAACACCAATTTAATAAATAAACCACATCTGATGGGGTACAACATGCAAACATTACAATCTACAACAAAAAGTGGAAACATTCTTAAATCAACCGACAGATATTCTGTTACAAGCACCACACTCAGATCCATGATTTCAATGACCTTAGATACTTTACAAGAACATGTATATTTACCCATTTACATTTATGAGCAACCAGGAACAAAGGTGTGGTGTCCCTTACACTCAAAATTATCAGGACATGTGTAATGTGGATAATCAGACCACACAAATTCTAGGGCGCGAAATATCAAATGTGCAAGCAAATAATTAAAAGTGCACTAAAGCTGAAGAAGACAGATGAAACTCAGAACCATTTGAATCTCTCAAAGTAAACAGTCATAAAATAAAGCAAAATAAAGTGAAAAGGTGTGCAGGGCCAAAGTAACAAACAGGATATGCCAATGCATTTTCATCCACCTGTGTGAACAGATGGTGTATTCTGGTCTCCTTATAAAGAAATGTTCTGCATCTTCAAGACCAAGCCTCATAGCTGTTTCTTGAGTATATTCAACTGAGCTAAGTGTGACTACAAGCAAATGAGGTGCAGATGAGATCTACTGTACAAACAACTGCATATATCGATTGCAGATTCTACAAAATAATTACAAAGGATTTAGATGGTGGTCTACTGATAAGATGTTAAGACGTATAATTTAAACTGTGATTGCACTAACTGTGAATATGTCATAAGAGAGATGTTGTATAAATGTGGTGAAATCACAGCTCCAAAATATGAATGAAGGCGGCAATTGGTGACAAGACATTTTTGAATATTTTCTCTACTCATAGCAAGGTCAATCAATACATTTTTTAAACATCACCTTAATTAATAAAGACAGTCAGGGGAAAGAGAGACCCGGACAAAGTATTTTATTGGGAACGAGGGATTGGGAGATGATGTATGTGCATGTCTGTCTGACTGGATTCTCGGGAAAACATGTCTGGTGAACACATTGGTGGCTTTTAAGCGCTGGAGGAAGAAAGAATAAAGCATGGCACTCTGACACGTACCATTCTCTAGTTGCGCAAGTGCTTGTTCTCCAACAGTGATTAAATATGCAGCAAATGTAAACCACTTTGCTTACTTTCACTGTTTTTAAGGGGGAAGTGTGCGTGTGTGCTTGTGTGTGAGAAGATTGAAAGCTGAAGCAGGATACATTAAAAAAAGAGAGGATGAGAAGCAGGGTCATTTACGAAGGGCAAAGAGCAAAAATTATGTTGTATTTAATCAGTGCATGTTCTTCTGTAAGGGCATGACTGTCCAGAAACAAGATGATCCTGAAAGAAGACAAAAGATTAAGAATTATTTCTCAAGTCATGAAATCCTTCAAAAAGCATAATAAAAATAATTTAAAAAAAAAAACTTTCATATTACAATGAACACTACATAACAACCCATGCATTTTAATTAGGGCTGTCCATTGATTTACTTTTTGAACGCATTATTTTAGATGATAATGTAATGTGTTGAATAATTATATCAATAGCCCCAAAATAAAAACACCTTAAAGGTACTATGTACAATTAAATGAGTAATCTCATATTTCGTTATAAGTTATAAGTTAATGTGTACTTTGGCAGCCCTAATTTTAAAATATTTTCATATTAAGTTATAAAAAAGTAATATTAAAGTAGAAAAATAATATATTTATATAAAGTATTCAATAGTATCATCAAATAGTATTAATAATAATAATGTAAAATATTAATACTTAATTAATGGTAAACTGAATCATTAACTATTTCTATCAAATTTTCTCTTTAACCATGCAGTAGAAATAAAAACCACCTACTGCTCTATTTCTCTTTGTGAAGGGCTTCAATGAAAGCTTCAAGTTTCTCCTGAATTTCACGTACTTTTTCTGTAAAGAGAAATCCAAATGTGAATGCAGCATATACTACTAAATGCTGCCATTTCAATGGCACAGAATTACCATTTCATCTCCCCTGCTCTGAACTGGAAGGAGTTCATTAGTCTTCTCAAGTTCTCCTGGGAAAAACCCTAACCTGGCCACATCATTGCAAAGACGCACTTTCATGTGGACTCGTATGCATACAAATATTTCTAGATTTTCCTGCAGATTAAGTATCAAGTCGTGTCAAGTCCCATTGTGGGTACATCCTCTGACACCCAAACAGCAGATGGTGGCCACTGACAGTTCAGCACTCAAAGGTGCGTGCGGTTGAGGAGCAGATGATGAAGAGGTGGTGTTCTATTGCACCTCCTCACCTCCACATGCTACTTCAAAGCCTGTTCCCTTCAGGGAGTCCAGAGTGGGAATGGGTGACAACTTTTAACTATGTGAAAGAGTGAGGCAAATGTAATGAAAAGGTTTAAAATATTAAATTTTTAAAAATTCTGTGTTCCTCCATGTGGAACAAACAGAAAATGTCATTCTCCATTTAGAATTGATGCTCTTGCATGGGTGAATCCAACAATGACGTCCAAGTCACAAATTATTCCAAAAGTGGAAAAGAAAAAGTAATAATAATAATAATAATAACAACAACAACAAATGTATTGGTAGTTCTGCCTTTTGTTTAAAATTATTGATTTTAATTTTCAATTAATTTTCAACTTTTTTTCGAAATATTTGACCATTTTTAAATTAAAATATTCCATTAAATTAAAAAATAATGAGACAGGAAAGACCAGATATATTAGGTATAATGTGACCTTGACATTTCTTGATGTTTGGTGAGATCCATCCATATATAAAAATAAAAAAAAAGTAATAGAATTAAATTAATGAAATAAAATCCAATATAACTGATGATGTGAGAGAAATTATAAATATAAAACATAATTAAAATTAATTCATGAAAAGTAAAAAAAAAAAGTAACAGTAGTAAAATATAATTTTTAAATAATTTTGCAATGAACTCAATTGAGTCTAGTTGAGAACCTCATAAATGACTTTCAAATCAATCACTTACAAGGTTCAATGACCAGTTGGCAGTAAGGAAGCACAGTAGGTTTTGGAACAGAGTTATTATGTATGTTATGTATGCATGCAAGACCATTTGTGGCCTAATAGTGTGAGAACAAACAATCTAAAGTCTCATATGACAACAGGTTAACTGGGCTTTTCAAGTGGACACTGGGCTACAAGTTTGTGGCTGTAACTAAATACTGTCATCTGAGGCTCGGGCAGCCGTTTTAGGTGTATTTGTGGTGTGGGGATTCCCCATTCTCCTCAGAGGTGTAGGATGAAAGAAATAAGACAGCCTTTGTGGACATCTGACATCTCCAAGGTCTGAAATACAATACTATGACCCACACACAACCGCACACGTGCTCACACGTACAAACACACAAACTTTCACAAATATCCTAAACACCTTCTGCACACACACATACACACACACACACACATACGCAATCGACTTTGAGTATCTTTTTTTGTGCCTAGGGACATAAAGAGTAATGGTGAAGGTTAGTGAATATAACAGGCATTACGTTTTGAAGAGGGCCTTATGACATGGCAGGTGTGGAGATGAAACTCAAGCCACCCGTGGTCTGAAAAATGCAGGGTAGCAGCAGATTCAAAAAATGCATTCCATCTGAACAATTTGGGGATACTTGATCTAATTGTATGTCACTGGATAATAGTGATGTATGCATTTATTAAAGATTCACTTATATTTACTAATAAGCTGGTAAGTGGTAACATGTTATGGCTGAATATAGTATAATATTAATTAATTATATAAATTATAAATTCAAAAAATAAGGAAGGAAGGTGAACAAATAAATAATACTTTGCATACTACACATGAATTTAGGCATCTCATTATAAATTACAGAACATTATGGACATTTTTTTTATGCAGCAACGTGCTCCCTAAAGGAACAGCACTTCTCAAGGGATTACAGCAATAATTTACTCTTAAAGGGCTAATTTTTTGTCACTATCGTTCATTATACCTATAAGTTAATGCAAGATGATGCCAAAAGTAATCTGAATCTTAAAATAAGAGAAAACAATTAAATATCCAAATATGAGAACATAAATATCAAATATCTGCAAACAGCAATAGATTAAAAAAGTAACACTGAAAAATAGAAAATATTGGTTCAATATATTGTGCATCCCTGGTATTTATATAATGTTGGATATTAAAAGTTTTTGTTTATTTGGTAATGGAATTTGTGGCTTGCTTTGTTTTCAAACCAGCATGGTTGTACCATTTTTATTAATCAAAAAAGACTTTATAATACACCAAGACCACTTTGTAACACACAAATAGAGACTCAAAAATACTGGACATGGGATGAATCAAGAGGACATGATGGAAGCTACTATGCTTCATGGGCCAATCACAAGTCTGTGGAAACAGTCAAATTGAAAACGTGTACATTTACAGCCAATGAAGTTTTAAAAAAGAATGGACAGCTAAGGATGATGTGAACTTGTGTGTATATGGGCTTAAAGTGTCTGAAAAGACTGTGAGAAACAGATATTTATTTCTGGTCGCCATCTGTTTGTTCCACATGGAGGAACACAGAATGACGGCTAAGAAAAGTCCAAAACAAGACGGTCTTTTCAGTGCCTCGGAAATTTGACGCAAGAGAGAACTGCTCCTTCCACTGCTTCTGTGAGTCCGAGAACAGGGTCCAAACTCCATTTAGACCCCTGTTTACCTAAGAGATGAGCTTTTTCGACACATCCATTCATAGGTCTCCTCTCTTTATCTGGTCATGAATATTCCCATAATCCTCTGGCCCCTGTCCCAGTAGCCTCCTTTTTTGGGAGGTGTGGGGTGGCTTTCTCTCTTTCAGGATTCCTCCTCAATCCCTTCTTTGAAAGGGGCTCTCGCCTGATCTCCACATGAAATGATATCTCT